TAGATCCTGAAAATTAATCAGCACAATGTTTCCGTTACGCATTTCGTAGAATTCAAATAACTAAAGATTTAGTTTACCTGAATAATTAAGAATGATCAATACAGAAACTGCTGGTGTCAACAATTTGCACTGGGAAACTATTTGTAATATTTCTGGGGTTTTTCAATCGGTTACCAACCGTCGAATCAGTAATATTTAACTGCACAAACAAAATGTAAAACAAAGAATTACTCATCTGCATGGCATTCTGCTGTTTACTTTAAGTCATTTACAGTATATTATAAATAAAAAAATAAATGATTTCAAAAAAAGATCAGCAGATGCTGCAATTTTTCCGCGTTTGGAGTTTGTCTTAAAAATAATTTCAAAAAAATTTTTGATGTTAATTTTGTTGTCTTTTAATTCAACAACTTTTGCTTTTTACTGTTACTTCAAGTGCCTTTATTTTCCGCTGTTGTCGACCGATGAATTAAGATCAACAAACATTCAACTGCCTGGTCCAAATGAATCAACAATTCCAATCAAATATAGTTTACTATGATCTATTCTAACCTTACAGTATCTATGCTCTTATCCCGAATTATGATTAAGATTTCCGTGGCAAAACACTTTTACCAAAAATCGACGTAGCAACGAACGACGTTAGGTGCTAATTTTCGGAACACTGTAACGACCAAACGGCTTATCAGACAACAACAAGCCAGAATCTGAATCAGCCGATAAAGTCGGGTGCAGACTTTGCGCTATAACTTAGGCTCAACCACACTGAAATCAGTCAAGAAAATGGATTGCCGTATTAACGATATACAAAAAGCGTGCTATTTACGGACCATTTCTTCCCGGTCGGTCTCGCAAACAGTTGGCAGCTTTCCCAGCGCTTTGAGACCCGCTCATTTAATAGTGGTTCCCGAGATAGCAAGGAGGAAGGAATTGCAGCAAACTGTTCCTTCTGATTCTCTAACTCTGACATCAACAAGGAGAAGCTGCTAAATTTGTTCAAGTATTTTGTAACTCTAATAAACTTTAAACAACTGTGCTGTTTTAACTTTTGTAACCAAAAAAAAAAAAAAAAAA